GCCCTCGATCATCCTTCAGATTGGTATGCCTCAATGTACGCACATTACTACAGATCGGTCAACAGCCAGCACTTGCCCGAACATTAGAGACCCTCTCGATCCATATCTGCTGTTTACCAGAGACCCACCTGTAAGACTCAAGCTGTGTTCACTTTGCGATCCTCAGGAGCGCTTTCTTATTGCGGTTATCCAGTGACGATGCAGCTTCGAGCACCGGCCCAGCTGGCGTTGGTATTGCCCTGAGTCCCCGGGCTGAAGCTGCTCTGGCTGACTGGATTCCAATCGGTAGCCGGTTGTGTGCGGCCCCATTGGCTGGCTCGTTCAAAACTGCGAAGTCGCGCGGGACTAACAGGTGTCTATTCGTCATCGCTGCCTACCCGCCCACAGACTGTAGCGATGATTCGGGAAAGAACGACTTCTATCGCCAACTGACCCAGCTCCCTCTCCACAGGCGACGCTCGGACACTATCGTGCTGGCTGGGGATCTGAACGCTCAAGTTGGCAAATTATCCATTCATGAGCTGCATCTGGGCGGCCAACATGGTGTAGGCTGCCGTAATGATAACGGTGAGCAGTTACTTCATTTGTGTGAGGGTGCTCGCTCATTTCTTGCGAGCACTAATTTCCGACACAACACCAGCCGAAAGGGGGACTTGGCGCCCACCAGCCTCGAATCAGTCTTGGACGCAAATCGATCACATTGCTATCGGTTACCGATGGAGAGGTTGAGTCCAGAACTGACGCTCGATTTGGAGCACAGGTGTAGACACCGATCATGCACTTGTATGTGCTGACCTGCTGATGCGTCTTGGCGGACACCCAGCCAAATTGTGATGCCAGCTGTTCTGAATGCCTACCAAAGTACGCTGTCATGTGAGTTGAGTTAGCGCTCAATGGATGCAGTTGAAGCTCATCGGTCGCATATTCACCAGTCCTTACTAGCAGCAGGCAAATCGCATCGCAATGAGGCTTGACCTTACCGTGGTGCAATGGTTTGTGTGCCTCAGTGATCCATTGAGCTATATTGGGTGGTGCGTTTTTGCTCCTTCAGAGCCACTCATACCAGATTGGTCAATGGTTAGAGGCCGGACAAACTCAGCTTCCTGGTCCTCCAGGTTTGGGGATGGAATGAAGGTGGCACCTTATTCCTTAGAACGGACTACTTGTAGCCCAACGCCAAACTCGCTGCCTTGCGGACAGGTTTTTGAACCAAAGGAATTGGTTGAGAACCCTAATCGTTCTCCTGTCTAAGTCTGGGCAACCTGACAGTATCCTGCCCACGCAATACTATGAATTTCTTGATGCTCTGGCCACCGCAGAGGATAATTAACGGTGCCGTATCTGCTGCATCGAGCAGGTGGATAGGGGTTTGGATGCTACTGCTCAAGCCTTCCCATCTTCTTATTCCCCCTCTTACGCTTTTTCACCCTTATCGTCCCGTTCCAACTCCAATTTTATCCTCCTGTTTTCAACCCCTCGTTTCTTGGCCTTCCAACACCTTGCTTCGCTAGGCGTTTATCTTCTAGTTTCAACTCATGTGAACGCGGAGCGTCACTCCTCTTCTGTCGACAAGACCATGTCCCAGCAAACGGTCCATTCCAGTTCATCCGCTTCCATTTGGAGCCCTCGATCCTCCTTCAGATTGGCATGCCACAATGTACGCACATTACTAAAGATCGGTAAACAGGCAGCATTTGCCCGAACATTGAAGACCATCTCGATCGATATCTGCTGCTTATCAGAGACCTGCATGCAAAACTCGAGCTCTGTGCTCACTTTGCGATTCCTCTTCAGGTGACACTAGCAGCACTTTCTCACTCCGCCTATCCGGTGACGATGCAGCTTCGAGCACCGGCCCCGCTGGCATTGGTATTGCCCTGAGTCCCCGGGCTGAAGCTGCTCTGGCTGACTGGATTCCAATCGGTAGCCGGTTGTGTGCGGCCCCATTGGCTGGCTCGTTCAAAACTGCGAAGTCGCGCGGGACTAACAGGTGTCTATTCGTCATCGCTGCCTACCCGCCCACAGACTGTAGCGATGATTCGGGAAAGAACGACTTCTATCGCCAACTGACCCAGCTCCCTCTCCACAGGCGACGCTCGGACACTATCGTGCTGGCTGGGGATCTGAACGCTCAAGTTGGCAAATTATCCATTCATGAGCTGCATCTGGGCGGCCAACATGGTGTAGGCTGCCGTAATGATAACGGTGAGCAGTTACTTCATTTGTGTGAGGGTGCTCGCTCATTTCTTGCGAGCACTAATTTCCGACACAGCACCCGCCGGAAGGGGAACTTGGCGCCCACCAGCCTTGGACGCAGATCGATCACATTGTTATCAGTTATCGATGGAGAGGCGGCATCCAGAACTGTCGATCGAGCACATGTGTGGACACTGATCATGCACTTGTATGTGCTGACCTACGTATGCGTTTTGGTGGACGCCCACGACGACATTGTGAGCGCATTGACACCAGCCAACTGACAAATTCAGCTGTTCTGAATGAGTATCGAAGTACGCTGACATGCGAGTTGAGTAAGTGCTCACTGGAGACAATTGATGGTCACTGGGAACATGTTCGCCAGACCTTACTAGCAGCAGGAGAATCCTCCTGTGATAAGTCTAATAGCCAACATGGATATTGTGTCTCTTCAAAGTCTCTAGAACTTATCGATGCTTGCCGGCATATTACGGCTGGAAGCGAACACAATGAAACTCGCAAATAGCTCTGGGCAAGACTCCGTGCTAGGTTGAAGAGAGACCGCGAATCCTGGTGGTCTCATTGTGCGTCAGATATGTAAGTGGCCGCTGCCCTCGGAAACTATCGTAAGTTATTCCGTCTGATACGGGAAACGGGCAGCAGGAGACCAGATGTTAGTGAAACTATGCGTGACGAGAGTGGACAGGCTATCCACAATTTGTCAAAACGTTTAGAGCGTTTGGCTGAGCATTTTGAAAAGTAAGTTAATCGGCTGGAATTGTTCGATTCTTAGCCGGCCAGTGATTGCGCTGGTCTGTGGACTGTCCCTTTGGATCCACCCTCTCGCTTAGAAGTAGAACATGGGACCGGACTGTTGAAGGTGAACAAAGCCGCGGGACCGGATGATCTTCCTCCAGCCCTCTTCAAATTTGGAGGCTCTACTCTTGTTGATGCTTTACATGGATTACTGGTAAAAGTGTGGGAGCAGGAAGCTGTCCCAACCGACTGGAGCCGCTCCGTTATTGTTCCCATCTTCAAAGGAGGCTCGCGTTCGGAATGCGGCAACCATTGAGGAATCAGTCTGATCTGCATCACCACCAAATTACTCGCCTTCATAATTCTTCATAGATTGACTGGCGCACGTGAAAGCTAGATTCATGAGGAGCAAGCCAGTTTTCGTCGGGGTCGTGGCTGCATCAACCACCTTGCGTCAGTTGTTGGAGCACCTTCACACATATTGGCGGCCCACCGTAGTCGTGTTCCTCGATATCAAAGGTTCATTCGATTCGGTTGATCGATGTGTCCTTTGGAATTGTCTACTCAGGAAAGGTGTACCTGAGAAATATGTAAATATTATCCAAGCATTATACACGCGTAGTACGGGCAGAGTGAGGGCTTACGGCAAGCTATCGCCACCCTTCAATATCTCCAGCGGTGTGAGACAAGGATGCCCGCTGTCACCTTTCCTCTTCAATTTTGCTATTGACGAAATCATGGATATCGCGTTCACAAGACATAAGTTGGAAGGTGTGGAGCTACTCCCAGGAGAACGACTTTTTGACTTGAAGTATGGAGACGACATTGCCCTCATGTGTGACAGCTCCCAGACGTGCCAAGCCGCGCTCGACCGATAAGCAATAGCTGTCAGTCGCTTCGTGCTTTGCACCATCGAAAAGGGATGGCCTCCTGCGCTGACCCTTGGTGGGGATCAGCTAGAAGTCGTTCAAAAATTCAACTACCTGGGAAGTTGTATCAACGCACTTGGGATCGAAGAAGAGATCACGAACCGGATAGCAAAAGCTCGAAGTGCTTTTGCTAACCTTCGCTACCTATGGCGGCGGCGCCACATTACTCTTATCCTGAGGGGTACAGTGTACAATGCAGCGGTACGTTCGACCCTACTATACTGTTGAGAAACCAGGCTCCTTAGATCGGCAGACATGAAGAGGCTAGTTACGTTCGACCACCGGTGCCTTCGCAATTCAGCTCACATCTGGTGGGAACACCGAGTAAGCAGCGAGCGTGTTCGGCGCCTTGTTTACGGCACAGAAAAAGGAAATGAACCGCTCAGCACCGTTATTTCACGCACAAGGATCCGATGGCTCGGCCACGTGTTACGCATGCCAGCCCACCGACTTCCGCAATGTGCGTTGTTTGCTCACCGGGGATGGGGATGGAAGAAGAGGAGGGGTGGCCAAGTGATGACTTGGTCGAGAGGAATGAATGCACTCACTTGGGGACTGGCCTCAGTTGGAGCGTCATCGCTCCCTGGTTGGGGTCCAAAATACGGTGAACACGTTTGGCTGGATACACTTGCTGACATGGCAAGGAGCCGACCTCAGTGGCGTTCGTGCTGTGAGTTTCTTTGTCCCTTTTCATCCCTTTTGGCCTCATCCTCAACCTACGCTCTGATTTCGTAGCGTAAAACATAATAATTTTTTCTTTTTGTCTAGTAGCCGGCTGGTAGCTTACCGGAACGATGCCTGTCCGCTGCTGGTAGCTCAGCTGGGATGCAACTATTGGACTTATTTCCTTTTCTTTATGTATTTCGGAAAAGTAGCTGAGGTGTCTCCCACCTCTAGCGGACTTGTATAATGATATAATGATGCAGTCAAAGCCTCATGTGGTATGCCTAATCGCCAACATGGACATGGGTCTCTTCGCGGTCTCCGGAACTTATCGATGCTCGCCGGCATATTACGGCTGGAAGTGAACACAATGAAACTCGCAAATAGCTCTGGGCAAGACTCCGTGCTAGGTTGAAGAGAGACCGCGAATCCTGGTGGTCTCGTCATGCATCAGAGATGAAAATGGCCGCTGCCCTTGGTAACCATCCTAAGTTATTCCAGCTGATACAGGAAAAGGGCAGCAGGAGACCTGGTGTTAGTGAAACTATACGTGACGAGAGTGGACAGCCTATCTACAACTTGTCAAAACGATTGGAGCGTTGGGTTGAGCAATTTGAAAGGCAATTTAATCGATCGGAGTTGTTAGATTTCTCGCCGGCCACTGATCGCCCCGCTCCCTGGCCTGTCTCTTTGGATCCACCCTCTCGCTCTGAAGTCGAACGTGAGACCGAACTGTTGAAGCTAAATAAAGCCGCGGGACCGGATGATCTTCCTCCAACCCTCTTCAAATCCGGGGGACCTGCTCTGGTGAACGATTTACACGAGTTTCTGGTCAAACTGTGGGACCAGGAAACTGCCCCAACCGACTGGAGCCGCTCGGTCATAGTCCCCATTTTTAAAGGAGGTTCACGGTCGGAATGCGGCAGCCATAATCAGTCTGATCTCCATCGCCTCCAAATTGCTTGCCTCTGTCATCCTTCACAGACTGACTGGAACTCGTGAAAGCCATCTCCGTGAAGAGCAAGCCCGGTTTCGTCGGGGTCGTGGCTGCATCAACCACATCTTCCCATTGCGTCAGTTGTTGGAGCACCGTCACATACATTGGCGGCCCACCGCAGCCATGTTCCTCGATATCAAAGGTGGCTTCGATTCGGTTGATCGATGTGTCCTTTGGAATTGTCTACTCAGGAAAGGTGTACCTTAGGATTATTTACATATTATCCGAGCATTACATGCGCGTAGTACGAGCAGAGTGAGGGCTTGCGGCAAGCGGTGTGAGTCAAGGATACCCGCTGTCATCTTTCCTCTTCAATTTCGCTATTGACGAAGACATGGATATTGCATTCACAGAACATGAATTAGGTGTGGATCTGCTCCCAGGAGAACGACTTCTTCACTTAGCGCATGCTGATGATATTGCCCCAGTCCGTGACAGCTCACAAACGTGCCAAGCGACACTGGACAGATTAGCAGTGGCTGTCCGTCACTTCGGGCTTTGCTATGCACCCTCGAAGTGCAAACCGTTCCTCCAAGATTGGCCTGGACCGCCTCCTACGCTGACCCTTGGTGGTGATCAGCTAGAAGTCGTTCAAAAATTCAACTACCTGGGAAGTTGTATCAGCGCCAATGGGATTGAAGATGAGATCACGAACCGGATAGCAAAAGCTCGAAGTGCTTTTGCTAACCTTCGCCAGTTATGGCGCCCGCGCGACATCACTCTGTCCACGAAGGGTACAGTGTACAATGCAGCGGTACGTTCGATCCTACTGTACGATTGTGAAACCTGGCTCCTTAAAGCAGAGGACCTGAAAAGGCTAGTTACGTTCGACCACCGGTGCCTTCGCAATTCAGCTCACATCTGGTGGGAACACCGAGTAAGCAGCGAGCTTGTTCGGCACCTTGTTTACGGTACAGATAAAGGAAATGAACCGCTCAGCACCGTTATTTCACGCACAAGGATCCGATGGCTCGGCCACGTGTTACGCATGCCAGCCCACCGACTTCCGCAATGTGCGTTGTTTGTTTGCCGGGGTGTGGATGGAAGAGGAGAGGTGGGCAAGCGATGACTTGGTCGAGAGGAATGAAAGCCCTCACTTCGAAGCTAACCTCGGAACGTCTCGGCTCCCTGGTTGGGTTCCGAAGTATGATGAACACGTTTGGTTGGATACACTTGTTGATATAGATAGGAGCCGAAGTCAGTGGCGTTCGTGCTGTGAGTTTCTGGGTGCTACCTTATTCCACTTAGCCTCTTCCTCCAACCATGGTTTCATTATTTAGTATTTTATAATTTTGTGTAGTAAATTATTCTTCTACTGGATATTAGCCGGCAGGTAGCTTACCGGAACGGTGCCCATCCTTTACTGGCAGCTCAGCGGGCTTGCATCTGTTGCATTTTATTCCCTTTTTCTTCTAGGTATTGCGGCACAGTATCTGATGTGTTTCCCACCTATAGCTTACGTGTCTAGTCTGTGTGTGTGTGTGTGTGTGTGTGTGTGTGTGTGTGTGTGTGTGTGTGTGTGCGGGGCCGAGTGGTATGCGCGTCTGGTTTGCAAAGATAAGGTCAAAGGTTCGAATCGGCATAGAGCGGGCCTCCTAGCGGTATACTCAGGCCACGCGGGACTGGTGGTGGTCGCGTGGCAACGAAGTGCCGATAGAGCGTACAGCTGGCGATTTACTTACTTTTTACTGAAGGCTGGAATGCGTAGCTGAGTAGATTAATCTAGGCATTAAGGCAGTTGGTTCGGTGATGGACCACCTGAGGACGGTTTCGTCTGTGTCGGCACCGAGGGGGCTGCTGCTGCTAGGGGTCTGTGGGAAGCTGTGCGCCTCGGCACCGGGTGCCCATCAGGACGCAGACAGATATCTGGGGGTGCACGTCTTTTATTAGCATACCAGATGGTGAGCGCATCGGTTGCCATACTAGCGGTGAGAAATGTCACGTTCAGGAGATGGGGTCTGTTCCTGTATAACTTGCTGGACAAGGTAGGCGGTGAAGGTCCGTTATGATTACGTTGACAATATTTAGTGTCTGCTGAAGGAACGGCCACTGATTACAGTCATGCTCCAGTCGCTGTTGTAAGGATGCCTCAGGGGCGCACAGTTCTGGAACGCCATGTACTATTACAGAGCATGGTTGAGTGGGTGGCGTCAGTTGCTGACTGCACGCAGCGCGCTTAGTCCAAGGCATGTCGAAGAAGATACGAAGATGGTACATGCCGAGGGACGCGTTGTTTCGGATTAGGTGTGCTGACAACAGAACATCCTCCATAGCGTGGCCTGGCGGCAAGTCAACATGGGAAAGTCTTGGCTTACCGGTGCTCGAAGATGAAGGGTGGCGAGTGTCTGGTGAAACTAATCGGTTTTGTTTCAGGGAGGTTTAACGCGATACAAATTGAGTTCCATTTAGTGGAATCCTGAGAATGTCGATCCTGAAGTTTCGGGTCGTTAGATTCTGGCACATTTGTACATATGAAAGGATTAAGAGTAGGGGTACTCGTTATTCGCTTAGCCGAACGAGGATGTGGGACGGTGGCAAGCATAGTTGGTGGGAGGACCTCTGACGGGAGCGCTGGGCGTCGGCGTGTTGGACAAATCAGCAGGTTGTTACGGTGAGACGATACATGATTCAGGACAGCTGGCAGGTTGCTGTCGTCGTTTGGTTAAGCCGTCGACTTTTCGCAATAGGCTTTGCAGCTGTTCTGCCAGCTTAATCAAGCGCATTTCTGAGCGGGTATTGTTGCTAGGCGGCTCGAGGAATCGTGGTGACCGGAGAGACTGCGACCGGTTGTTACACGACGTGGAGGGCGGGTTAGTAGGAGACGAGATTGCAGAAGCACGCATAGGGCAAGTTGTGGAGGAAGTCGCTAGGAATATTGCGCCCGGAATTCGCAATGATGGGAACGCAAACCGGGCAGATGTACCTCAGGACCGTCTGTGGATGCGAGCGACAGAATTCAATGTTAGTTGTATGGAGCGAATTGGCATAGGGAGCATTAACACGGTGCAGAGATCGAGCATGTAAGGGCTTTGGAACGAGGCCCTATACGCTGAATGCAAATTGAGCAAGTGTTCAGTGGCCACATGGGCGTGATGGGTGAGACCGAAATGATCGGCATGGTCAAACGGATAACACAAATGCCTGAAAATAACGTAGATTGGTACCTGTGCGGGGTACAGGTATCCAGCGCCTCGATTGTGGGGATGCGGTCACCTGGAAGAATGGGACGAGTGTGCAGGTATACGGCCGATGTTCGCGGTGTTATTGCTTTACAAGTGAGGGCATAGACGTGGCAGTACGGGGACCTAAAGGTGTTAGACAAGGGAACAGTTCGGTCAAGTTAAAAAAGAGCTAAATAAGAGGAGTGTTGAAAGCTAGTGTGTCAAAAGTGGTGACCCTACCAGCTAGTTTGGCGAACGGCCCATTTTTCGACGTAAATGGCCGGCGAGACAAAAACTAAGCACCTGGGCGTTGTTTGAAGACCTCTGTATTACGTGCTGAGGCAACAGTTTCAAGCAGGGCGTTCCAGACGAAGGCGATACGCACAATAAAGCTGGTATTTCGGTACTGAAGACGACTACTGCGAGTCATGACATTGAGTGAGTGCCCTCTTAGACGGTCTGTGCGGGCACGAACGAGTAAGTCTGTATTAGGGTGCCTGTTGTTCGTCAGGATACCATGGACTAGGATGAGACTATCACAAAAGTTACAATATTTAAATGGGAAGAGATTAAGGGCCAAAAGGCGCTCTTCGTACGATAGGAGGGATAGTCCCTCCACTCTCTTAGTGGCTCTGCGCTGGATGGTTTCCAGCAGTCTCGTCCTTCTTTAGGTACGGCGGCTCGACCAGCGTATTGTACTCCAACAGCGAGCACACCGAAGTGCTATAGAGGCGTACAAATGTTTCTCTAGGGAATAACGGTAATACACGCCCGAGGAGTGCAAAGCGCACGCTGACCTTTCACGCCTAAGTGGCTACCTTAACGCTCAAGCCCAATTCGGCGGATATAATGTTGCCTAGGTCGCGATCCTGGGATGTGGTATTAAGAAGCACGCTGCCGATGGAGTGCGGAGTGCTTGCATCTCGTCCGATGTACATGACTTTGTATTTGACGGTGTTGGATGAGAGTAAGTTTGCCGAGGCCCAGGATTAGGCAGTAACAAGGTCTCTCTGAAGACGCGCCTGATCGCTTCGATCGCGGATAGGTCGACGCATCTTAGCATCATCCCCATTAAGCAGTGTATGGCTGTTAATAGAAGACGGTAGATAATTAATGAACAAAGTGAACAGCAGGTGCCCGAGGATAGATCCCTAGGGGACTCCGGTCGTCGCAGCCAGAGCAATGGAGAGTGCGTCATTTACACGAACTTGGTAGGTGCGCCCAGATAGGTTGGCACTTAGAAAAGAAAATGCTGGTCAATACCCAAACTCTATAGTTTACTTAAGAGGACTGCGCGAGTAGCTCAGTTAAATGCGTTAGAAAAATCTAGGTAAACCATGTCAGTTGAAATATGACTGCCTGTGCTGTCCAGGGATCAAGAGCTGCGAGAAAATTCGTGGAGCACGAGTGAGCCCTGCGGAACCCGTGCGGTTCCGGGGCTATTAGGGACTGGATTTTTAGATGGTAGCGTAGAACATTGTCTATGATGCTTTCCATTAGTTTGAAAGCAGTAAGAAGCAGTGCTATCGGGCGGTAATTAGTGGGGTTTGTCCTGTCACCACCCTTACACCAGCATGGGGTGACCCTACAGGAAATCGGAAGTCCATGAAAAAATGTTCCTAGCGACGCTGATTCCTCGGACTTTGAAGAGCTGTTCATGCAGAACCTTAACGAAGGCCTTACTGAAATCCATGTCAGGTATAACGAACGATAGAGGCTTTCGCCTAACGAACGTCCAGCTGCTTGTGCCGGGAAGTGAAGCGACCCACGGCACTTCGACGTTGGATGGACTCTTCTTGCTTCTGCAAAGGAATGAAGTAAGAACAAGAGCAATCTTTGCGCTT